GGGGGGGTTTTTGGTAGCCCTGCCAGTGGAGTCCCTTTCATCGGAAGCACTGTCAGCCGCTCAGCAAGCAGACGATCAAGACCTACTGGGTCCCTCGTACGTGGTGACGGTAGGCCTTTGTGAAGAAGATGAATTCGGTCAGATATATAGCATTGATCACGAAGTTCAAGTTCTTTTGGTGGACCTTTCTGATTCAGCGCTCCAAGCTTTCAGAGAATATGATCCGGTGACGGACTCACTGGAGGAACTGCAAGCATATGACGATCATCATCCTGCGGCATTGCCACTCTCGGCCTCCTTGGTATCTCTGGCAAAGCAGTGGACTGAAGACCTGGGACAATCTCGCCTAAATTTTTACTCGGCTCGAGAAGAGCTGGAGACTCAGAGTGTGGCGCCCAGGACCCCAGGTCAACCGAAGAAGGCGGCGCCCAAGAGACTCACAAATGCCGCTTTGGCAGAACAAGTCGCTGCGCTGGCTACTCAGGTACAAGCTTTGACGGCACTTCAACAGATGCCAAGACCAAGGCCCGAGACTGCTGCGCCCTCTGCCGCGCCTGCAGGAGGACAACGGCTTGGTCTAGGCCTTGGACCTTATCCACAAATGCCGGCACTGGGTCAAGGGTTTGCTCATCTGGGACGGCCCAAGGATGCGGCCGTCAAGGCAGCAGCATCCCTCTTGGGGCCACCCCCCAAAGACGCAGAAGAAGCCTGCAGTCCCTGCTCTACCGGAGGAGGTCGCTCGAGACGAGCCACAAGACCCTTTCCAACAAGCGGCGGACCCCATGTTGGCAGCGCTGTCCCTGCAGAGCACTGCATTGACCAGCCTGGTGGCGCACCTTGCGGGCCACTCGACAGACCCGCTGATAGACCTGCAAGGAGGAAGCATCAGCTCCAGTTCGTCCTCAACCCGGGGGGTCGCCAGGCGGGAGAAGATGCAAAGCGACCTGGCACTCAGACAGAGCAATTACTGGCTCGCCTTCCTTCAGCAGCTGTCAAGGAGGATGAACCCCTCTCGCCCGGTGCCAACCTCCACAGATATGGCAAAGGATTCCGATCTTTCGTTCCTGGCCTATCTGGAGAGGCACGGTGCCTACAAGCAGTCGAAGGAGATCGGTACCATTCTCTGGGTGCTTGGGTATATCGTCGATGCTGCAATTGCGCAAGACTTCGATGGTGTCAGAGAACACCTTGCCCTCTTCGCCACGGCTCTGGATCAGGCGGCCTTGGACCAAGGATGGTCAACAGCATTCCTGGTAACTTTGGCCGAGGAGCCACCAGCGACTTTGTTTGCAGAGAAGGGAACCAGCCTCTCGGTGTCCAAGCCTTTCAGCCCATTGATGCCAGTTGCATGGGGGGCCGTATTGCTGGCCTACCTGAAGGACCTGGATATCATGAACTCCAAGAAGCAGGAGAGTCCATCCAAGAAGGCGGGGGCGTCAGCCAGCCAAGAAACCAAGGAGGGCGATTCACCGAAGAAAAGGCCTCGCTTCCCCAAAAAGCCAAAGGGAGGCGGTGGCCAAGCAGCTCAGTGAAGGCTATGCATGTGTCTCCTCCACCACGTGACATACAGTCATCGCCACGGGAGGAGGGGAGAGATCAGAATTCATGGAGAGGCCAGCCTGATGATCACGCCGGCCAACCACAGCCCAGCAAGCTCAACCATGAAGCAAAATTCGATGCGCTTCAGCAGCGTATGTCGCTCCCGAAGTGGTGCGCGTGTTTGACATCGGCTGTACTCAGGACGAGGACACCCTTTGCTGCTTTTCTTGCCCGTACTTTCCATCTGCCTCGCACCTCCCAGAGTGCGTCACCGTCCATGTTCCCGGTCCCGCTCCCTTCGGGTGAGCCTTGGGCTCGGATGCCCCCCAGACCTTTCTTCAAGGAAGAGAAGGCAGATCCACGTTGCTCGGGCCATCCACATCATTGTTCTGGCTTTGAACTTTTACCATGCTGGAGGACCATGCAGCCTGGAGGCCTTGGGGAGAACTCCGAACGCCTACCATAAGGGCATTTATCAGAGGATTCGGAGTTTAATCAGGGCGGAGGGCCAAGCTACGATTCAATGTATTGCTAGCTCTGGTCGTAGGCTTCCACAATTAGTTGCACGACTTTCGGAGCTATCTCAAGCCCTAACGTCCATTGGCCCTTCTTGCAATCCCTATGACAAGGTGTTCAATGGCTTTGAGGTTGCTCCAACCACAGACGCAGAAGAGCTGAAACCCTATAGGAATCTGGATGCAAAGAGACTTGTCCTGACTGGCAGGGGAGCATGGGACGCCACAGAGTTCCTGCAGGATGAACTGGTTCTGGCCTTTCGTGAGCCAGCATCTCTCCTCTTCACAGATGAGCCCCTACAAGAAGATGTGCCGCTGATTACCGATGATCCTAGCGAGATAGTCGCACTCGCATCAGTCTGGGACAAGCAAGGCCTGCTTTTCATCCATGATGGCAGAGCTTTTGATGAGCATCCTGAATGCTATACCCGCATCTTCAATGCGTTCAAGAATGTCAAGATGGACCGCCAAATCGGCGACCGACGTTCGAGAAATAGTTGCGAGGGCCGTGTGAAGGGCCCCAGTGCCTTCCTCCCATGTGGCCCCGACCTCTTAGACTGGTACTGTAACCCCAGGACCCACTACATAGCCCAAGCCATCGCTGACAGAAAGGATTTTTATCACCAGTTTGCTGTTTCGGATAGCCGTGCTTTTTCGAACACTGTAGGACCGCCGGTCGATGCGAGCGAGCTAGAACAATTTGATGCCTTCTCGGCGTACCTCCTACGCCAGGCGAAGTCCAGATACCACAGAGGTCTTCACGGAGACCGCTTAGGCCTGAAAGGTCAGCGTCTTGCAAAGGGCCAGCCGCAGAAGCTTTTCGTTGCTTTTAGATCGATCCTCCAGGGAGACCACACAGGGGTTGATGTAGCTACTAGTGCTCACCTGTCGCTGTTGAAAGGCGTAGGCCTCCTTGATGAGAAGTCTAGGTTACAAAGTTGTACTCCCCTTTTTGATCAGTCAAACTGCGAAGGACTTTGTATTGACGACTATTTTGCAATGAGCCTTGAGACCCTGGGCACGCCGTTGCAGGCCTCGGGTGCAAAGCTGAAGATCGATCGGGCCCTTGAGGCCTATCAGCAGGCTGGGATTCTGGGAAGTCCTGAGAAGGACGTGCTGGCCGATAAGGCAAAGATTGTTGGGGCCGTATGCAACTCAAGTGCGGAGGCCCGCGCCCAGGGTGTTGTTACCTTAGGCGCCCCTATTGAGAAGCGTATTGCACTTTCAGTCATCAGTCTGCAGCTGTGCACCTTGACGCACACCACAGACGTCTTACATGTGTGTTTGACCGGAGGTTGGGCGTCAGCCTTCATGTTCCGCAGGCCTCTCATGGGCCTTTTGCATAGGGTTTACGATCTTGTGCAGGGTTCAGTAGTGGACCCTAACCGCCCAAAGATTTGTCGCCTGCCTAGGTCGGTTGCCAACGAGTTTGTCCTTGCGGCAATCCTGATGCCGCTTGCGAGCTCAGACTTGAGCGCCGATTTCAACACACTGCTGTACTGTAGTGACGCCTCCAGCAGGATGGGCGCCTTTTGCTCAGCATCGATTCCTAGAGACCTGTCGTCGGTGATTTGGAAAGCATGTAAATCTAAGGGGGGCTTACACGAGGCTCCTTTCGCAGGTTGAGTCGGACATCAAACGCATCGGAGGTTCCGAGTCATTTGAAGACGAGCTTGAAACGGCAGCGCAGCCGGTTAATGTCCGTAGGCCGTTGGCCTATCGTTTCGCGTTCATCGAGCTTTTTGCGGGGTCCTCAAAGGTCACGGAACAGATGTCTCAACTCGGGTGGTCAGTAGGCCCGCCCATCGACCTGAGCTTCAGTCCGGAATATGACCTCTCGGCGGTTCATGTCATGAGTTGGTTGAGCCACCTAATAGTCACTAAGAGTATAGAGAGCTTTGCCTGTGAACCTCCCTGCGCCACCTTCTCGATAATGAGAAGACCGCAACTGAGGTCGAAGCTGGAGCCGTATGGTTTCTGTCCCGCAGACCCACAAACCAAAACAGGCACAGTCCTCGCGTTGAGAGGGCTCCAGTGTCTTCATTTGGGGCACAGGGTTGGGACACCGGGCTGGCTTGAGACCCCTTTTTTCTTCTCGTTTGAAAGCGTTGCCTCCCTACAAGAGACTCCAAGGGGCCAAAGGAGCTGACTTTTGTAGGTCGGACTCGTGTTGTTTTGGTTCGGAACATTTGAAGCCTTTCGCTTTCCTCAGTGTTTGGGCCCCGCTCAGCAGGGTGAGGAGGAGATGTAGGTGCTCAGGTAAGCACCTGCAAGTGCAGGGTCAGTACACAAAGTCCAGCGCCATGTATACAGACGACCTCGCACAAAACCTTGCTCTGGTGCTCCATGATGCCATTTTGGCAAAGAGGGCCCTCGACGAGGACTGGGACGGAGCCCCTTCCGCGGGACTTGAAAGCCTTCTGGTGAATCAGCTTGCTCTGGAAGCGCCTTGGCAGACTGAGAAGAAATGGACCTTCAAAGGAGCCTCGCACATTAATATTCAGGAGTCTGTCTCGGTCCTCAGAGCGATTGAGCATGCATCAAGGAAAGGCTCCCCCCAGAGGACCTCCATTCTCGTCGATTCGAACGTCGTTAGATGTGCGGTTTCAAAAGGACGGACATCGTCCAGAGGCCTCATGCCGATTTTAGCTAAGATCAATGCAGTTTCCTTAGCCGCAGGCCAGTACCTGTGTCTGCCCTTTTGTCCTACTCGTCTGAACCCTTCAGACGATCCCACTCGTGGTGTTGAGCTTAGATCCCCAGTGCGCGAAGGTGCCACTCTCAGACTGAGCCTCTCGGAGTGGGAGGACGTGGCAAGCCATAAGGGTCTTAAGAGCACAGCCGCCAACTGGTTGCGTTTTGTAGTTTTGGTGGGCGGGACCCATCTGTTGAGCCTCAGAGATCAGAGTTCGTTTAGGCAGCCGCCTGTTTGGGAATATAGATCCTTCCTCAACCGCGCTTTCCCTCGAGAGTTTGATAGCACACTCGGCTTCCCAGGTGAGGGCCCTCTGCTACTTCTCCTCTGGATTTTTGTTGCTTCTCCCCTGTCTTCATCTTTCCTGGGCGGGCGAGGCACTCCTCCCTTTTGGATTTCAGGAGCCATTTTGGGGGGGGGACGCGATGCGCCATGGCAGTGACGATAGAACCCCGGAACCCGGGAGACCAGAGAAGAGCTGACTACCGAAAGAGGATTGGGCCACTCCCCACTGGCAGACCTGTGCTAAAGGTCACTGAGAAGCGAAGAGAGGTGCTGCTGTCAGCCTTCACGAGGTGGCTGGAAGGACGTGGTGTTGTGGTCGATGACCTCTTTGTCAACACCTACCAGACTATAGAGGAAATCAACACACTGCTGACAGCCTATGGGCGTGAGCTCCACCTAGCGGGCCGACCGCTGAATGATTTCTCTGAGACGATAAACTCAATTTCCAGTTGGAAGCCACAGTTGCGCCGGACCCTTCAGGGCGCCTGGGACCTGGCGTATAGCTGGGGCAAAACAGAACCGGCGGTTCACCACACCGCCATGCCGGCGCAAGTACTGAT